AAGTGAAAATTTTGAAAAAATACATACTTGCAATTCTTTCTTCTGCATTCATGCTGAACGTTCTTCTCCGGAATGGATTTTCAGCCATATGATAATTGATTCATTCAGAAGCCAGTTATTTCTCATTTGTTAGTAGTGAAACAACTGCTTTTCATCTACCAATGTTACAGCAGTAACATCGCCAGGCCTACAGCATCTTCATCACTTCAAGACGCCGGTGGTTGACCCTTAGGTCCCCTAAGTTCATTCTCCTCTCAAACACTCTACTTTGATGGTCTTAAACTATAACCTCTTATACAGACATATAACAATACAAATATATATAAATAAATAAAATATAAAAATATAGAATATAAAAAAATAAAGACATCCGTTTTTTGATGGAAGTACTATAAGGTTTCTTAACAGAAACAAAAGTCACTGTCCTCTGACAGTTTCCACTGCCGCGTTTCATTTAGGAACTACCCAGGCTCATCAGAGTGGATTGAAGAACATATCTGTCGTCATGTATTAAGTGTATACGAACTTCTGTCCGTATATTATTATCTAATCAAATCAAAACAAAACCTACCTTCAATTTTGTGATTGCTCCTATAGCGGGTTTCTGTACTTGAACGGAATTGAACGGAACTAAAAACACAGAGGCTATATATAAATTATAAAATTATTTATTGTGTTCTGCTTATTTTCTTAATCAGAAAACTGAAAACTTCTTCTTTAATTGAATGATGCCGCTCAGTTGGATGTAATTGCTCCTGTTGAGAGATGTGACCAGTTGAATTGTTTGATTGAAATGGTCTGAATCCAGATTCATCATCTGAACGTGTCACCGGCATGCTTGTGTGTTGCGTGTTCAAATCACGTCGGGGTCACCAATATATAGCAGGTTTCTGTACTTGAACGGAATTGAACGGAACTAAAAACACAGAGGCTATATTTAAATTATAAAATTATTTATTGTGTTCTGCTTATTTTCTTAATCAGAAAACTGAAAACTTCTTCTTGGAAAATAATTTTCTTTCTAAATTTTTACAAGTTTTGTGTTGTCAATATATTTAAATTATAATCCAGTTTACTGTGATTATCGAGAATATCGACAGCTACATTCCTATCTTTCAACATTATATTTACTACTCTTAACAATCACAAACAACAAAATATCTTCAATTAATACCCAAATAAATATATCTTCTTAATATATAGTACATACTGAAAGAATATTATTAATACTAATAATAAATGGATTGTTAATGAATGAAATTGTTAATAAATGAATTATTGATAAGAATAAAATATGATATTATAACTATATATTTCTTGCCAGTGTCAATGGCCTCAATGTGTTAGTATATAACAGACTGCCCACATCTGTATAACCCATACTCCATGGACAGTCTCTACATATCCTAATTTTGTCAGTGTACAGTGTTTTTGAATTTAAATTTGGTTCGGAATGTACTGAATTTTCAGAAATAGCGTCATCTAATATAACATCGTCAGAAATAGTTAAAGTGTTTTGTGCAGTTGATGCTTGAGTATTTTGCTACTGGAAAGTTTCTTGGTACTGACTGGACACACAAATATTTTTTCTACTCTTCTTATCGCACATTTGCTAAATATCCTTATATGCATGGGTAGGTGAGACAATGTTTATGAATGAGATGCATAGAGTTTGTTGTTGTGCTTTTTTTGTTCTTAAAGTATAATAAGTTCTTCCAAATTATTCTAAATTTGATTTTTGCTAGAATTTTATACTGGCTTCATACATAAATATGATGTTTGGCTATTAAATGATGAGAAAGCACCGGTGTAGCGCAACCCCACAATTGTTAGTGTAAATGCTGTTAATATGATTGGTTGTGAAGACCAGTGCTATGCTCTACAGTAGCGCGCTGGTTTCATAAAGAATATTAATAAACACCATATTATACAATAATTAATTATTTTTTATATTTTAAGTTTTTAAAAAAATAGCGTTATAAACTTAATATAACTTAATTATATAAAATAGAACTAAATTTAATTACATTTCATTTCAATTTTTCTACGCATTCATATATATTATTAAACCAATATTTTTTTATATAAATTAGAATTTTTACAATTTTTTTAAGTTGTTGGTAAATTTTGCACTATCTTGACAACTTTTTAGTAGCCACTTTGAATTTTTGCACCATAGAGCTTTTTATTAAAAGTTATTATTCTTTAACTTAAAATTTAATTCAAAATTAAAATATAAAATATCTAATCTCTCCATCATTTATTGATAAATATCTTTGCAAAGTACTGACGGTTTTCATTATTCTTATCTGATTATACTGATAATATTTTCGCGGCATGTAAATAACTCCCTGAGATCAACATTAATACAGTTATTTGCATTTCACAGACATCCCAATTTTATTTGTAGCATTTTGTTAAAAATATATTTTTATATAATTATTATTAATTTAATTATTTATTATTTTATATTTTTATTATTACTTATTTTACACGATAGCTTATAAAACTTAGGAACTGTTAACAATAATTATTATTAACTTAGCACTAAAGACATGGCTTAAATGCTGTCTAAAATTTTTACAGACACCTGAATTTTACTTATATGTAAAAATTAAATTTTCAATACAATTAAAATTTCAAATTTTTTTACTTTTCTAAGTGCCGCCCAAATAAACAATTCGAAAATTTAAATTCAAACCACTACAGCTGATTCACATATCAACACATATATAGTCTGTTGCGCACTTTTTATTTTTTTATCCAGTATATTGGATCGACGTCTGATGAGGAAAAACAACCCCATAACGAAATGTTGCATGCTACCACCTTATTTTACTGATTTAGTTGAGTACTTTGGATAATGTGGACAGTTCCAAATAAATCCAAATAAATTAACTTTGGTTTCATGGGACCAAAGCAAATTTTTGCAATTTTTTCGTAACAAATGTATTCTTGCAGAAACTATTGTGAGCGATATGTTTGTTTCGCTAAAAAAACCACTTTACTTGCGGAATGATCTTTCAAATACATTGTAATCAGTTTATTTTGTGTTGTTCTACATATACATATTTATTTTTTTTTAAGAAAATCCTCTTCTAACAGTGCTACAAATCGTACTTTATCCATGTTTTTCCAATCTTTATTATCAACATTCAATATGCCCCATGGACAAGTACCTGCTGCTGGTGCTAACAATGTTGAACCAGCAGCATTGCCACGAGCTCCTGTAGCTCAATATAAAGCCGACCCGGTTGATAGACAACCACTATTTATATGATGTGAGGTTGGTGAAGGTAATTTACATATAGCTAAATGCTCTATATAAACTTAATCACAGTTGGAGCAGCTGGTACTGCGTGAATTTTTACTTATTCCTTTATAACTTGTCCGTTGGTCAGAATGATGATAATGACAGTTTTGAAGAAGACACCAGCGATCAAAATATTAAAAATAATTTAATTCCATAATTTAATTTTGTTCAACATTATTTTAATAATAAAATAATAAGAAAAAAACTATTATTTTTTTCCGAAGTTATCGATTTTTTTTAAGTTAATTTAATCTGCATTTCCTTTTGTTTTTTTTTTCTTCTTTATGTTACTCTGAAAAATTAAAAAAATTTTTTATTAATTTATTTAAAAATTTGAATAAATATGATTTAAATTACATTTCTGTTATTCATTTCTGCAGTTCCGTATTCTGCCATCTCCTGACGCCGACGGTAGTTTTCCTCCTGCCGAGGAAAATAATTTAAGCAATTATTTTTTACGAAAATGAAATTTGCACCTCCAAATCTAGTATTGCTTTGTTTATTTATAATTTTCTCCACAACTTCGAAACTTTCGCGCCTTTCTTTTGCATTAAGTAATTCTTCTAATTTAATGATTTTGTTTAACACTAGCTTTACCAAGAAATTTTTATACCTATTTATACCAACAGAACTCAAAATGACTGTAGGACAGTCAGCTTCACTTGGTATCTCTTGATTTGATGACTGATAATCAAAAGTGAGTTCTTCAGCTAAACGAAACAAAAAATTCTTCCTTAAAATATTCTTTCCGGTTGTATTTTTATGCAAAATCCAGGAATTTATTCCGACAAAAGTTGAAATATTAAAAAATACTTGAAGTGGCCGTCTTTTAGATCCTGATTTCACACCATATTTTCGATCTGTGACGTCGACACCAAATTTGTTTTTATTATAAAAAGACACAGTTTCAGACAGTTTCTTGCTGTCGGTATCAATTTTGACGCCAAATTTCGTATTTCATCTTTTCCTAGTCAAGGAAAACCATAAAATTACTTCTGTCAAATTGATTTCTTAAATGTATACTGCGTTATCACCATCACACAGCCCCTTCTAGAATTTGACACCCAACTGACGACAAATTCTACCTTCTGTTGAAGTGACACTTATCCAGTATACTGCGTTGGAAACCGTACAATCCTTCCCGCTCGAGTCACCTTCGGTGTATGTTGAACACAGTCACTGTGGTTAGGTTCTTCCATTCGTTCTCCTGTCAAACTTTCCCCGGTTTCATTCGCCATGTATGCGGGTTTCACGCGGTCCACACTAACATTTACTGTCCGTCCTTTTACCCTAATTTTTAAGATTTTTTCGCTACGAGTTACCACTTCGTACGGACCCTCGTATGGTTGTTTCATTTTATTTAAATACAAATATTTAAATAAATAAGAGTATAAATATTTTCAATAGTTTTTCTTTTTCTTTTGGGTACTCTGAAAAATTAAAAAAAAAGAAATTTGTTAATTTATTTGAAAATTTTAATAAAAATGATTTAAATTACATTTGTTTTTTTTTTATTTCGGCATTGTTTTCTACTATCTGCTCATGCCAACA